CTTATTTGATTGTGACTAGAATTAAGTGGAAGTCCAGAATCTATCTGCTTTTCCCTGGTTTATGTTCAACTCTTATTTACTTTAGCCATCTTATCATTTAATGGTAAAGCAGCAACAACAAACATTATCAATCATCCCACTATAGTAGAAGGTGATTCCATTGGTAACATCAATAATTTATCCAATGGCATGGGATTTAAGATGCTGTTGAGAAAAAGTTATTCAAGTGTAGTCCATGTGTGCCATCTGTAATCCATGAGTTGTTGCCTTATATAGATTGACTTCTGAAATCATTGAGCTCTGTTTACACTGACCATGGAGGATCGTGCTAGGGGAAACTTGCTTGCAACATTCCTTACAAGGGCAGAGCCTTCCCTGTCAGATTAATAGAGGTCCTATTATTTCAAGGAGGACTTCAAGATAGTAAATATATGCTGGTTCTGGGTTTCCTTTAATTGGATGCCCGCTAAGCCAGGGATCCTAAGCGAGGTGCAATCACTGCCAATTCCAGTCTTGCAATGCCAGTCAAGTCATTTCTTTCTTCTCTCATCATGGAATTTCAGTCTTAAGTCCAAGGGCTACATGTAATTCTGGTGTGGTTCACTGAAGGCTGGGCAGACGCTAATCCAATATAATATCAGGTTTATTATTATCCCCTTGGAATTACGTTTGAGCCCCCTTTCCCTATATGACATTGCTCTCCTCCAGTTACCCACCAAAAAGGATAAATGCTTCTTCTGAAGTCTGATGTTCCCCTCCCCTGGGCTTAACTTCACTTTCCAGTAAAGTTCCCTTCTCATTCTCATGGAGTGCATGTTGGTTTGTCGCAACCTTGCCTCAGTGCTGTGTAGCATCAAGTGAATGGTCTTTTCCCTTTCCCCCTTCTTGCAGGTGGTTGTTATGGTGATATGTGGTTCATGGCCAGTAAGCAGGCTCTCTACTCCTTTGTTTGGGATTTTGTCCTAAGCTTTGTTTAATTGCTGTTTCACCTTTTAGTAGTGGGCTCGTGTAGTATTTGTCCTTTCGTGATTGACTAACTTCACTCAGCATAATGATTTCCAGATCATTCCATTTCATATGGTGCTTCATGCTTTCCTCGCTGTTTTTAAGGGATGCATAGGGATCCATTGCGTGCATGTACCAGAGTTTCTTTATACATTCTTGTACTTTGGGGCTTTGGGGCAGCTTCCAGTTCCTTGCTATTGTGGACAATAAACATGGGAGAGTTTACATCCACTCGTGTTTTGCCCCTTACTTCTTTGAGGTATATGTCCAATAGTGGCATTGCCAGCTCAGATGCGATTTCAATTCCCAGTTATTTTAAGTATCACTTTCTATAGTGATGTATGTATTTATGAGTCCACCAACCGTTTATATGAGTTCCATTTTCTCTACAAACTCTCCAGCATTTGTTGGTTTTGGTTGTTTTGAATTGAGTTAGCACTGTGGGTGTAAGGTTGTATCTCATGGTTTCAACTTGAATCTCCCTGATGACTAGTGATCGTGAGCATTTTTTTCCATTCAAAGCATCTTTTATTAGTGTCTAAAGATGTTCTTCAGTGAGCACTAGTGGCACGGTGCATTAAGGATTCGTTTGCTAAGTGTTCCCAGTGTGAGGACGCTGGTTCAAACGCACCAGCCGCTATTTGGGTGGAGGATGAGGTTGTCTGCTCTGATAAAGATTTGTATTTATGGTTGCAGAAACCTGAAGGAGCAGATCTACTCTGTCCTATAGGGTCACCATGGCAATAGGCCCCCTGCCCCTGCCCTCCTTTTGAAAAGATGTTCTTTCTTCCTTTTCTGTGCTGTGAAGTTGGCTTCAGCTTGGAAATAGCCATCTTTGACTGCTCTCAGGAAACCCTAGGCCTCTGCTGCTCAAGTTGTTCTAAATGTGGAGGTCTCTCTTCAGTAAGTCCTTTCCTAAAAGCCTCTATTTTAAGCCCAAAGAAAGAGCTGGAAAGTTCCAGCTCTTTATTAACGACCTCTACTTTTCATATTTCCAATCATCTGTTCTCTAGTCTGGCTTCCATGAAAATGGTTTCAAGTCCTCCACGTTCATGGTCAATCAGACTAAATTTCAGCCACATCCGATGCCTGCCTTTCCCGGCCAAGGCCAAATTCCCAGGACTGGCCACTCCGGACTCCCATCAAGCAGTGAGGATTGAAAGGGAGAAACTCACTGCCGTCCCTTGAGCTCATGGGACAGAGAAGCACTGCCTTCACGCGGTTAGTGCCTGTCACTGCTTGAAACAGAGGCTGCTAGGAAAGAGAGACCCTACCCATGCAGAACACAGCGAGGGCTGTCGGGACCGAAAGCTTCCAAGGCCACCATTCTCAAGTAGCTGCGGTGGAAATCATCTTCAAAATACAGTACCGGAGAAGAGAACACCTTTTTTAAAGGGTGGGGACATTTTTTGATGTGTTTGTTATCCATTTGCATTTTATTTTGGGTGATCTGTCTGTTCATGTCTCTGGCCCACTTCTTCATTAGGCAATTTCTTACTTTCTTATTTAGCTATTGGAAACATTGGTAATAAGACCCTTGTCTGATATGTCATTGGTAAAAAAAATTTCCCAATCTGTTGGCTCTCATTTTACTCTTTGGATGAAGTCTTTTGATGTGCATAAGTGATGCATTTTCAACATGTCCCAGTCATTTATTTTGTCTTTTGCTATATCTACTTCCTTTCCTATAATTGGTGGTCTAATATGCCCTGCAATAGAACCCCCCTTAAGTTGGATCCAGTTTTCTCATCGATGATCCTGGTAGCTCTAGGGCTTACATCTAGGTCTTTAATCCATCTTGAGTTCGTTTATGTACACGGGGAGAGATAAGGGTCTTGTTTCATTCTTCTGCATATGGAAATCCACTTTGTCCAACACCATTTGTTGAAGTAGATGTTTTTGCCCATTTTGATATTTTTTGGTCCTTTACTGAAGATTACGGCCTGTACACTGATGCATTTCCATGTAGGTTTTCTGTTCTATTGCATTGGCCTATGTATCTCTCTTTGTACCAGTACCAAGCTGTTTTGACTACTGTGGCTATGTGGTAGGTTGTTAGGCCAGGTAGTGTGAGGTCTCCTTCTTGGTTCTTCTTTTTAAGAAGCTCTTTGCTTACGCTGGGTCTTTTGCTTTTCCATACGAAATTGGTAATTATTTTTTAATTTCATTTATTTAAAGAATGTATTTGGGTTTGGATTAGGATTGCTTATGTCTGTAGATTGCTTTGGATAATACTGTCATTATCACAATATTAAACCTACCCAAAGGACAATCATCTATTACCTGAGAGTATTTTTGTTTGTTTGTTTGTTTCTTGTAGTTATGTTCTGTGGTTTTCTCTGCATATTTCTTTAATATTCATGACCCCCTCAAAACCCCTCTTTTTGCCCCACTGGAATTCAAATAACTGATACATTTTTTCCCAATTTCAGAGGATGATCACCAAAATGATTATCTTCAAAGAAGAGTAAAATTCTGGGCTATTCCAAGAAGGGGATTTCGCAACAATTCAGAGCAAGTCAGGCCTGGCATTAATCTGTTACCCCTCCAGGATCAAAGTGAAAATGTGGCGATGAGGCAGCTCCGGGTCAGCCCTGGAGCACGATAGTAAGTGACCAGCCAGCATGGTGGCATGCATGACCCACTGGAATTTGTGACATTCGATTTCCCTTTGTCATTTCCCTTCCACTCTATAAACTGAGGATGAAAAATGCTAGGACAAGATTAATGGTGGGGCAAACATGATGATAACCTCTGTCTCTTTATCACCATAGCACCCCTTATCGCATCCCATCTTATAAGCAGGGAGACACGTATCAAACAGGAGACCTAACTCGGGGTAATATGGAGAGAGAGAGAAAAGATCCGGAGGCAGGAATGGAGGGGGACAGGCAGGATGGAAGCACCCAGAGCTTCTCCAACATCACAGTGAGTGTCTCGGTAAAATGAACATTATGTGCAGGGGAGACAGGGTGGGTGGAATTGTGCTGATCCCATGTGGGTACACTGCTGGGGCATGGGGTGCCGGTAAAGTGCGCTTTTTCTTCCATGATGTTTTCATCCTTGATGCATCTAAAGTCATGTTGGGAGAAGTAAGGAAAAGGGACCGGGAAGGAGGCAGGGAGAAAGACGACGACTGTCTACAAAGGTGTAAACTGCTCACAAGGAGATGGAACAACTCCCCCTGCTTGGCTCCAATTTCGCTCAAACTGAAGGGTTGGAGGAGGAGACAGGCCGTGGACGGAGTCTCTGGAGGCTTTGTCAGAGGGGGCTGCGGGGACTGCATGAAGAAGGCTCTCCCAGAAGCTTAGGAAAGGAGGAGCATTTTGTGAAAATTGAGGATGATTATTTGCAAGAAAATGTTGGAATATACAGAAACAGCATTTATCACACCCACATATGATACAAAAGTTAGAAACAGGGACATTGGTTTAAGTGCAGAAACACTTTTAAAACGTTGTAAAGAGTGTGAAAAGAGCACATGGTTGGGTTGTTGTTTTTTTTTTTTAACATTTTATTAGGAGCTCATACAACTGTTATCTCAATCCATACACACATCAGTTGTGTTAAGCGCATTTGTACATCGTTTCTCAAAACATCTTCTCTCCATTTAAACCCCTGACATTAGGTCCTCATTTTTCCCCTCCCTCCCCACTCCCGGTTGGGTCTTTTTGTAAGCGATATTTCCAGCATGGTAATGGCCTCTCACATCCTTTCTTATGCTCCAAGACTCCAGTTGGCATGATGGGTGGCAGGAATTGGCTGCTGAATATGTCCCAGGGTCAATCCAATGTCCCCTTCACGCTGGTTGAGGTAAGAGCCCAGGGTGACAGCCAAGTGGGCATTACAGAGGTAAGCTGGAGGACTGCAGCTGAGCCCAGACTCGGGCCTCGTGTGGCCTAGTTCTTTATTGAGAGCGCCCTCATTGAGTCTGCACTTAAGAATGTCAGAGGCAAAATTTGCAATGAGGACAGCAAGAGGGTGTGTGTCGGGGCATGAGCAAGGCTAGTTGGGAGCAGTTGGGCAGGCTGGGAGGGGAAGTGTCTTGCTTGATACCTGGTTTCAATAGTCCTGGTATTTTCCCAAGTATCTTGCCTTCTTAACAGACTCCTCCCTTTGACATCCCCTCTGCTGTGCCACAGTCTGGGCAGGAGAAGCTCAAGTCAAAAAATGAGAACCTGACCAAAGCAATGCTGACTCCAGAGGTGTGTGCCCACCCTCTGACCCACCACCACTTCTTCCATCACAGATCCCCCTCCTACCACCTGAGGCCCACGCCACTAGTCCCCATCTCTGTCTCTGCAGGTGACCAAGATGAAAGGAGGAGACGGCTGCCAGGGAGATCATGACCTTCTGAGACTCCACTCAGATCCAGGTATGAGTGACAGCAGTCATTCTGGGCCATTTGGGTGCAGAGTGGTCTTTGTGGGAGGGGTAGTTAGAGGGTATTTAGGGAGGGTTGGTGCTGAGGCCAGATCAGCTGCGCCCTTTCATCCACCTGACCCCTTGTCTCCTATTCTAGAAGGAGTGATGCACCATGCTGCTGAAATGGGACTGAGCGTTAGAAAGGACACTGCTTCCTCCCTTCAGATCCATGAGGAGAACATGCCCACAGTGAGGCCTTGGGGTTTGCTCGTGCTGAGGGTGGTGGTGGATGGGACAGCTCGGGTGGAGGGCAGATTTCTCCCAGATGTCACATCTTGGAGCCCTTTCTCTCACCACAGCTTTTGTCCTTTGTCACAAGCAACAGGAACCCCTTCGAGTTTGTTGATCTATCCATAATGGTGCAGAACAATCTCAACATCAAGAGCAAAAACCTCAGAGGGAGGGGAAAAATGAGGACCTAATGCCAGGGCTTAAGTGGAGAGGAAATGTTTTGAGAATGATGAGGGCAATGACTGTACAAATGTGCTTTACACAATTGATGTGTGTATGGATTGTGATAAGAGTTGTATGAACCCCTAATAAAATGATTTTTTTTAAAGAGCAAGAACCTCTTAGAAAATCAGATGAGAAACAGTAGCCAGAGCACCCTTTGAAACAAAGGAGGGAAGGCTCATCAGGGTAATAACAAGAGACAATCAGTGAGGTGATTTGTGGGAGATGTTGAATCACTCCCTGATTCCTGTTTCCTTCTTATAATTGCAGATGAAGGCTGAAGGGGCGACGGAGGAGATGAAAGGGCTGGAGCCAGAGGAGATGTGTGTGGGCAGAAAGCTGGGCACCACCTTGCAGAAGAAGTCCACCAAAGTAGGGTGAGTTACGCTTTCTGCTGCCTTGTGGAGTTTCTGCTACTCTGGCAGTGCAGGAGGTTGCTGCCCAAGTTATCTGGAAGAACCACATATCCTGCATTCCCCTCTCTCGGTTTCTCTTTGGTGGTTGGATATCTCCCAGCCTTCCACTGACTGGCTTCCTGCACCCCACTTTTCCCCACCCCTCTGCACCCAGCATTCTCTGGCGTGGTCCCACTAATTGGGCTTTGGGGTGCAGGGCTCCTATTAGTCCCCAGTATTGGGGATGTGTACGCTGTGTCCTGCCTCCCATCTGGGGCTACCTTGGACCAAACCCTGATACCCTGGACAGTGAAGACCCCCCTTGACCAGGGGCTCCTACTGACACAGTCCTTCCAGGATCTGTTCCTTCCTCAGTGTGTGATGGACCATTTCTCCCTTGCTCCCAGAGAGTCCCCTGTCATCTCGCATGCTGTCACTGGGACTTTTCCGCCCCATGATGAGGACTGAGGCCCAGGCATAGCTGTATCATGAAATCCGTTTCTCAGGCTTAAGGACTGGAGTTGGGCCTTGCTGGGGGAGAAAGCTGGGCTTCCTAAGTCAGAAGTTCATCACCTGCAGTGAGCAGAGGGCATGTTGAAACAGGTGCAGAGAGTTGAAGGTTGGGGACTGAGGCAGGTGTGGAGACAGGCGCAGTGCCCCCTCCCAGCACCACATAGAGTCACGCTGCATGGAACTTCAGAAGAGCCCTGGGTAATCGAAGGTGGTCTGATTCCTCAGACAGGGGACCAACTAAGACAGGCACTGTAGTCTTGGGGCCACCAGAGGAGACAGGGGTGGTGCTCTCAGGAGAGGCCACAGACACCCGAACCCCGGCTCTGCAGTGACCTGAGCCTTTCCTCCTAGGGAATGTCTGCTGCCCCATGGCTGCTCTGCTTCCCATGCCCAGCTCAGAGGGGAACACACGGGACCAAGTACCTGCTTTCCATCCCATGGTCACATGAAGGACAGACACAGTGGTAGCAAAAGAGTCACTTCCACTTTCTCCCTTCTCTGTCCCTAATGCCCACCACCCACAACTAACTTCTCCCCACTTGTCTTTCTTTGACTTTCTTCTTTGTCCTCACCGGCCTATGTCTCCCCATCTCTCTGCTCCCCTCCCTTCTATCCCTTTGTGTCCTCATCTCCTCCCTGCCTCCTTATCCTGCCTCACCCATCTGCCTGCCCTGCATCCTGGACCAACCTGAGGGGAAGTCATGGTCTTGTCCATGGTTAGAACTGGCAGATCACTGGACACCGGGTGAGGTAGCAGAACCATGGGCCTCCTTTTATCCTCTCATTCAGGTATGATTTTTTCAACAAAGTGGGCAAGCTCTGACTTTTCTTTTGCCTTGATATTTAACAGTGACATCAGGGACTTGTTCTCCAAGTTATTGAACCTGGTGAGTATACTCCTTTTTCCTTGACTTCTCTACCAAGTATATAATGCCACCCACAATCTGCCCTGAGTCCCTTAGACCCTGCCCAGGTTAGGTGTTTGGATCTGTCCCCTAAGCTCCCTGGGAAGGAAGCCCCCGTGGGGAAGCTGATCAAGCCTGAGGACTTTCTCTGCCGCTCTCCACTAGCAGCTCAACTCTCTGTTGAAGACCCCGTGATAAACATGCCCATGGAATCTCTAGGACCATGTGGCTTTTGCCATGTGGCTTTTGCCAGGACCTCTGACCTCTACCAATTTCCGGTGCCCATCTTTTTTCCTCATCACGTGACCCAACCCCAGTCAGCACTGCTGACATCTACTTCCCTTCCCCAGAATGATCAGGAGTTGCCCTCACCTGTTTTCTCTGACATTGGGGATGACAAGAAGTTACCACTCTGCAAGGTAAGGCGGCAAAACCAAGCAGGGCTTGAAGGGGTGAGTGAAGAGGGGATGGCAGCTAGGTCCCTGAGCAACTTTTTCATTCTAGGGGAGTGTGTTTGGATCAGAGACCCTGAAGAATCTACTCTGCAACTTCCTGAAGCAGTAAGAACTCCTTGGGCCTGAGGCAGCACACACATTGAGATGGGTCCATCTGCCCATTCATAAGCCTCATTATGACGAGGGCAGTGGGGTCTTTTAAGTCTCTAAGGAGCCTTTGCTTCCCCTTAGGTATTACAGTATCTACGATGATGGGGACCGACAGAGTCTCCTGAGTGCTTACCACGACAATGCCTGCTTCTCACTGAGTACTCCCTTCAACCCTGAGGAACCATCCCTGTGAGTATCTCAGCCCCTAGGACAGCCCTGGACTTCTAACTGCCCAGCACATACTGACCAGTCCTCCTCCTCTTGTTCCTGCTTTCTTCCTAGTATAAGATTGGGCCAGTACTCCACATACAGCAGGAATATGAAGCAGCTCATGGACGTCGGTATGTGTGTGTGAGACTGAAGATTGGATGAGGCGGGAGGTGTGAAGGTAAAACACAGGGACCCAGTGAGGGAGGCAGCCCTTGACCATCTCTTGTCTTTGCCCACAGGCCTGTGTGTTCAGTTGCTGAAACACACAAAGTGGGAGGTTGTCAATTTCCTCTGTGTGTTGCCCAAGACCCAGCATGACTTCAGCTCCTTCGTGGTGGACACCTGTGTCCAGACAGTAAGCACTTGCTTCCACCCTAAGGCCGGCCCAGGGAGCAGAGGTGGGTCGGAGATGTACCAGGATGCTGGGAGCCTGAGCTGGTTTTCTCTTTCAGGAAAAGATGCTCTGCTTTTCTGTCGGTGGGAAGTTCAAGGAGGGTGAGTGTCTGCAGAGTCTCAGGCCTCCCCTCCCCCGACTGCTCCCTCTCAGAGCTCTCCAGGCTTCCTCCATCCCTCCCTTTCCTATTCCTTCATCAGCTAATACCTTATCCCCAACCCACGCTTGCCTGACCTATTTCCATTCCTGCCTATCCCACCACACACCAGGTGTTAGAGACATCTCTCAGACTCCTCTTATGCAAAAAGGGCCTAAGAATTTCCATCTTTCGGGCTGTTATGGAAAAATGAGGCAAATGAATTTATGAAGAGATTATCACAAGACCTGACAAAGAGTAGGGGTTTTGTCACTGGGAAGAGATTTTCCTCTTGTTACCCTCCCCAACACTGACACTCCTCAGGATCCCAGTTGACAGTGGTCCCTGTGTGTCATGAGAAAATAGGACCCTTGATAAGTGTATAAAGCATGGGAAATCTGACAGACTGTGTTGCTTGTTGTCCTTGAAGTGCAAGAAATGTGTGAAACTTGTATCTGTACCTTCAACCGAAACTTCATTTTGACGACTGTCAGCGATTCCAGGTTAGTGCTGGGTTTTGCATTCCAGAGGGAACACCCATTCCAGGATGTGGCCAGAGGATGGGATGGTGACACTGGATTCCTCAGGATTTCCCCAGGTTTGCAGAATTCCAAAAGGTAGATCCCAGGAGCACACCGGCCTAGTGGTTAAGAGTGTAGGCTGTGGCATAGTGACTTCCCCCCCTAACTCCAGCCTTCACTAGCTGTGTGACGTTGGTCAAGTTACATGACTTCTCTGTCACTCTATGCCCGTCTCTGAATATGATGGTTAGAATAATCAACCGCTTGGGTTATTCAAAGGTAAAGACAGGTATGAAACTCTCTGGGGTGGGAGAAACCTGTATACCCATGGAAGGTGGCAGACAGCTCACCCAAAGCAGGTTCTATGTGAGGCAATAGGGTACCAGTCAAAGAGTCAGCGAGGCAGGCAGAATAGTGGATGGCAGGAAGGTGGTTGCCAAGTGTGGGCGGGATTGTTGTTGGGGCAGTGGATTTGTCCATGTGTCCAGCTGTCTGAGGGCCCTCCTTTCTCCAGCATATGCATCATTAATGACCAACTGACTGTGACTGACATGAGCCCCGAAGAAACCCAGAGTGCCTTCATGCCGGTGTCCACACCCTCCTCCACCTTGGTGCCCACCACATCCAAGGAGCAGCAAGAAGTGCAGCAGGCCACCTCTATTGGGTCTGGTATGAGTCTCCCGTGCTCTCAGAAGTGAGTGTGGGGTGGGTGGGGATGGGAGGAGCTAGAGAGTGAGTGAAAGAAACTCTCAGGTAATGCAGTTTGCTTCTTCTTGTCACTGTGGACCTCAATCCCACTGTGTGCCTATTAAGCCACCTAGTGGTTTACAACAGGTGCACAAGCCTCTTGAAGTCCATGGACCCTGAACCTTTATGGACACACATGTGTCTAGGAGTTTCCCCCTTACCCACCACCGGCTGCTTTCTTCACAACAGCTGTGCTTGGAGGCAGGTTTAAGATGTATAGATTAGTAAGGCATCTGTGTGCTCAGTGTTTCCAGGTCGGTCCTGGTGTGTGTAGCCTGACCTTTCTCCACTCCGGTACCTCCATGACAACCACTGGGATCACACCAGGCCTAATCAATTGTTGCTGTGTCCACAGCCAAGTCTTGGAATATAGGCCAAGTGAGCAGTGAGCAGAAAGCAGGTGGTCCTGGGATGACGTTCAGATGTCTGATTCTGATGATGCCCTGACTCCTCTCTTTTCTCCCCCCAGCCTGTGATTGAGGCCTATAGGATGAACTCATGAAGGGGTGCACAGCCCTTACAAGGAAAACGCCGATGGAGTCAAGGTTCTGATCATCTTCAGCCTCCTTGTTATTCTCTCTCTTTTATGCCACTCAATCTCTATGTAGCTTTTGAAAGTAGAGTGAGGTTGTTTGTTGTGTGAAATCTATGCAGCGACCATTTGAGTCATGCGTTATCATCACTGCCCCATAGCTTACACCATACAGGGGCTGATGCTACTATTAAGCATTGAATCCTCTGATGAACATAGAATGAAACCTCCAAAGCAGCCAAGGATCTGGTCGTTGTCATCCTTATCCTGTCCCTGTTTCCTCTGGCCACTGTTTTATGTATTTGTTCTACCCAGTTTCACTGTTTCTTTTACAAATAAAGAGTGATGTTGTTTGTTATGTGAAATCCCTGAAGCGTCCATTTGAGTCGTGCATTATCATCACTTCCCAGTAGCGTACATTCTAAAGCAGCTGATGCTACACTCGAGCACCGAATCCTCCGAAGAACATGAATTGGGAACCTATGGCAACAAATGACTAGGATGGGGAACTCCCAGAAGGCTGTTCTCGGGGACAGATTTGGATCTGATTCTCAAGCAGCAGGAAGGAAGATAAGGAAGCTAATAGGTGCTGAGCACTGTATGCAAATGGACATCCAAGGCAGTGGTCTTTTTTCTAACAGTTTTATTGGCACTTCATCCACACACCATGCAATTTAATAATCCAACATATCAGGAAGAGTTGTGCAATCTTGACCACAATTAATTTTAGAATATTTTCTTTTTCTCTGTACTGACTGTTATTTATGTAATTTTTTTCAATTTTGGCAAAAATATACACAAAAGCATCAGCCAATTCAATAACTTCTACACCTATATTCCACCGCCATTGATATACGCTTCCTGTTGTAAAACCATTATTGTGATCCCTCTCCAAATTGTTCGACCACCGTTAAAGTGAGCTCAATGCCTCCTAAGCAGAACTCTTCTTCCTTCCCCCATGGTAACTATAGGAGACTTTGGTTTCCCTTTTGTTTGTTTTTCAGTGTTTTCCTTCATATCATGTGAATACAGCCTACGCTTCCATAATTGAACCGTCCCTAAAAAGACTTGCATATACATAATCATATCAGCTCTAATGCTTACTCCACCCCTACCCCTGCATCCACTGATTGCTCCCAATTCCCCTGTCCTTCCCCCTGCCCCCCACTTCCCTGTAAACCATTGGATCAATTATTGTCTCTGCATCCACTTCTTCTGTGCTTCTTAAACTGTGAGATGTAAAAGAAGTAATAAAAAAAAACAAAATGGAAAGAAGAAAATAATAATAGTATAAATATAAAAAGGGGGGAAAAAAACATCAACAATATTTAAAAAGCCAGAGAAGAAACATCTGTCTTGGATCAATCCATAAATATTTGAGCATAGAGCAAATTCAGGTTGGGTCAAGAGCAAGGTTAACTGAAAAAGTATCATATTATACCATGGTTCAAGTTACCATCATAAAGTTTATACTCATCTCGGTCTGAGAGTACAGCTGTTTGAGGCTTCGACCTGTGAATAGAGGGGATCTACTAGAGGTCGAACACCACTACTACACATGGGTTTTGGGTGCCCATTGTCTTCCATAGCCTTATACAAATTTGATGTTCATGATTTAAGCTCTGATAACTTTTTTCTTCATCATATTTGGATTTTGTTATTTTCAACATTGGATCGCACAGGCTGGTCTGCTTCCATGTGGACATAGGCGATGCCTCACTTTGATAGCTGCTTGCTTGAATATAAGCTTTTAAGGCCCCAGACACTATTCCAATTGGTAGCTGGGCACTATCTCCTTTTTTTACCACACTTGCTGTAGCACCCTTATGTTCAGTGATCTCTTCGTGAAAACAAGTATTGAGCTGGGGCATGTTATAAGAACTAACTGTTTTTGGATTAGTGCTAGAATTACATGGGAGCTGAGAGTCCATCTGCTTTTCCTCAGGCTGTGACTGGCTTTGGTTTATTTGGTAGTCATATTATGACAAAAACAACAAAAGCAACAAAATCAATAACAAAAATACAAACCATAAAAAAATCCCCCCAAATCAATAGAAAGAATAAAGAAAACCGATGTCAATCATCTCCTTAGTGTATAAGGTGATTGCATTGATAACATCAATAATTTACGTAATGACATAAGATCTAAGGTACTGTTGATATGAGGAGTTTATGGAAGTACAGACCAACTGTGAGGTGTAATCCATGAGATGTTGCTTGATACAGATTGATTTCTTAATTGATTGAGCTGTTTGCCGTGAGCATGGGAATTGGTGCTAAGGGGAAATTTCCTACATCAGTTCTTTCAGGGACAGACCCTTTCCTCTCACAGCAACACCCGTCATAGGAATGCAAAGGGAGCATCGAGGCACCAAATACATGATGGCTCTGGGTCTCCTTTCATTGGACACCCACTAAGCCAGGGGGCACACCCAAGGTCCACACTAGCTAATTTCACAGTCTTGGGGTGGCTGTCATTGCATCCTATCCCGTCATAGCATTTTAGTCCTAAGTTCAAGGGTATACGTAGTTTTGAGGTAGACCCCAGCTCATTCAGTCAAGTTTCCATGCTGAGTCCTTCTGGTGTGGCCCTTGGGGGGTGCCATGTTCCCTGAAAAGCCAGCATCTAAGGCCATCATACTGCCCACTTCATGGTGTGGTTCACAGAGGGTTGGATACAATCATATAATAACTGTCTACACAAGACCAAAGAATTTGATTTCTTCTCCCCTTGGGTTGCCTATGATTATTGTTCAGCATCTTTTCCCGATGTGAAGTTGCTCCTCCCCATTTACTTACCATAACCAGTGCCTCCTTTGAAATGCAGATGCTCCCGTCCCCAAGTCTCAACCTGACTGTCCAGTAAGGTTCTCCTCTCATTCCTATGGAAGGCCTATTGATTTTTCACAGCCTTGTCTCAATGTAGTGCAGAATCAAGAGGACAGTCTTCTCCCTATTTCCCCTTTGTTGAAGGAGTGACCCAAGCCTATGTGAAGACTCCTCCCTTGAGGAAGTTCTTACGAAGTGCACACAAGGGGGATGGTGTATGGTTCATTGCTGGTAGGCACACATTCCACCCCTTTGTTTTGGAATTGGTTCTTAAGTTTAGCACCATTACTATTTTTCCTTTTAGTAGAGGATTTGTACAATATATGTGCTTTTGTGCTTGACTAACTTCACTCAGCATAATAGTTTCCAGGCACTTTCGTGTCATGCATTATTTCATGCATTTGTTATTGATTTTTAGGGATGGGTAGTATTCCATTGTGTCTATGTCCAATAGGGTCTTCATCTATTCTTCCACTCGGGCATTTGGGCTGCTTCTAGTTTCTTGCTATTGTGAACCATACTGCTAGGAACATGAGAGACCATACATCCAGTCATGTTGTACCTCATTTCTTTGGGATACACGCCTAAGAGTGGTATTGATTTATTGCATGGGATTTCAATTCCTTGTTGCTTTAAATATTGCCATATCATTTTCCAAGTAGTTGTATGTATTTAAAAGTCCACTAACACTGTATATGAGATCCAATCTCTTCACATCTTCTCCAGGATTTTTGTCTTCTGATTTTTTTTAAGTGGTAAGGCAGTGGTGCTGAGATGTGAAAAAGCATGGAGTTAGGAAAATCTTGGTGGTAATGTGCACTTGGAAGGCCATATGTATAGATCATAAATTAACTGCTATTGAGTTGATGCCAACTCCTAGTGACACTATAGAACAAGGTAGAACTTCCCTATGAGTTTCTGAGACTGTAAGTCGTTATGGGAGTAGAAAGCTCCATCTTTGTCGTGCAAAGTGACTGGTGGTTTCAAACTGCCAACGTTTCAGATTGAAACTCAACGCATTTCCACTATGCAACCAGATGTCAGAGGGCTAGAACATAGAAGGCCTTTAGGTCATTGTAATTATTCTTCCTATGATGCAACACATTGGGGAGCTTTAAGAAAGAGGGACATTAGAGTCTACTTCTGTTAAAACCTTAGTGTGAATGCTTGTCAGAGAACAATGTGAAAGACAGGAAAGGTAGGAAAAGGGATATGAGGTGAGAGGTTGTAAGAATCACACGGAGAGGGTCTCTTGGCATGGATAATAAGGATGGTTGTTCAGAGTACACTAAACAGAACAGAGGTGGACATCTCTGACCTCTGGCTTCCCTATTACCATGAGACAAGAGGCAGATATCCTATGTTACTTATTCAGACACCAACTCTTCCTCCCACACCACTCTACATCTATGCTGAATTTCTTCTTTCCTTGCAGTGGCCACCCAGAGCTTATCGACAATATTCAAAATTAAGGGGATTTCTTAGGGAAGTCAATTGGTAACCGCAATCAGGATCTGCAAACAAATTGTGAGTGTGTGTGACATTATCCAGGTCTCCCAAAAGCTGCTATTGGTAGAAAGGTTAATTAAACAACAATAAAAACAAACACCTCAAACTCACTGGGACAGAGTGCATTCACACTCATTACAAACTTGAAGCGCAGGGCAGACCTGTCTCTGTGGGTTTCTGAGGCAGTGAATCTTTATGGGAGTGGAAAGCCTTATCTTTTTCCCGAGGGTTTGAACAGCTGATCTTGTGGTTGGCACCCCAACGCACAACCCAGTGTGCCACCGGGATCCTCAAAGAGGACAATGAAGGTAGGAAAAACACCATGTGGGAAGGGGTGTGAGGGAGCCCTGGTGGATTAGTGGAACCACCAGCCTCAGGAGTATAGCCTGCTGGTGGAACTGTAAGTATGTACATCCATTATGGAAATCAATCTGGCCGATATCTAAAACAGATGGAAACCGAGTTACCATACGACCCAGCAATCCCCCTACTGGGCATATACCCAGAAGAGGCAAGAAACAAACCAAAGCCAGACATCTGTGCTCCAGTGTTCATTGCAGCACAGTTCACAATTGCAAGGAGTTGGAAACAACCTAAATTTCCATCAACCAATGAGTGGATTAAAAAGCTGTGGTACATACATACAATGGAGTACTACGCATGGCTAAAAAGCAATGATGAATGTGTGAAGCACATTGCGGCATGGGAAGCACTGGAGGAAATCATGCTAAGCGAAGTAAGCCAAGCACACAAGGACAAGTACATGAGTCCTCTGAGATAAGCTTAAAAAACAACAACAACACGATGTCCCTCACTGACCCATAGCCCTACAGGGGACAACACTGGAGACACAGTGTGGGAATTGAGCCCGATCTGATCCCATCACACCGAGGCAAAACACTAAGTGGGTGCAACAGAAAAACAGGAAATGCCGAACGTGGACTTTGGGACAAGGGCTTGGTTCCCCAACAGACTGG